CCCCAAAACCCCAAAACCCCAAAACCCCATGAAAAAAAATATGATTGATAAATGAGGTTAAGATGAAAAATAATAATGAACATAAAACTCTGAAAATAAACTTGTATTAAGCATCTAAGTAAATATTTGAATTAAGAACCAATATCAAAGAGTTTCTGCTTATTTTTGTGGCTGTCCCATTTTGAATTTTATTTATGGCTTATTACTGTCATCTTATTATTCTCTTCTATTGTCGAATAGGTTTTTAGCGTGTTATTTATTTTATCTTTAATCTTATTTTTGATTATATTATGCATCTGATTGGGGATCGAGTTATGAATTCTCCTTTGAATCAATACTTTACTATACTCTGTCTTACTTTGGAGGTTTTAATTTCTTGGGAATAAAGTAATCAGGTGTTTATAGAGTGAGCAATGGATGAGTAAGCACCTTACCCATCAGTAATGATTAATAGGCTTTTGCTGTCTTCAGAGAGTTCATCATATACTTGTAATAAAGTTCATCACTTTACAGAATTTTGCTTTCTGACTTATACTCTTTCAATTCCTTTTGAGAATCATCCTCAGTATTGACATTTTTCATTTTTTCCTATTCATCTGACTCTAATTCTCTCCTAACATCTTCTTTCATAAGATGGACGATCATTTTATTTATCACATTCTGGATTTTCCCTTCCATCATAACATCCAGCCAGAGGTAATTTTGTTCCTTCCTAAACCAAATATTCTGCCTCTTTGCATATTACCTGTTCTTTGCCTTGTAATCATTCAAATACTTTTAAGCAATCTGCTTATAGCTTGAGTTAATTTGCTTTCTCTTAATGAAGTCCAAATAAATCTATTCTTCCCCTAAATGGTGGAATGACTGAAGGTATTTGACAGATTCCAAATACCCAATGCATCTTATCAAGGGATTAATCTTCAAGTTTTCAAGATTTTCATGCTCTGATATTATTTTTGAAAATTCTATGACCTCATGGAAAAAAGCATCATTCATTACCATTTCCTCAACTCTTAAGTCCAGAACCTGATTTATTGATTTCTTATTTCCAAAGAGATAGAAGCATCTTTTGTCAATGTTAGAGAAAAGACTGTTGTCCTCATCAGTTGCTTAGGTTTTAACATATTGTGGATAAGTCATGCCTTTCGCTTATAGGTACAAGGCCAAAGCAAACTTAGTTTCCAGTCTATAGAAATCATTGACCCCAATTTTAGAGGAATCGTTATCTTTTATTTGTACCTATGCAAATAGGGTTTGAGCTCTTGAAAGAGTAAGCTAAAAATTGTTTTCATCCATTCTTATGATGTTTTTTGCTACTTCTCGAGATCTAAAATAGACATCATCATTTAGATTTGTAAGGTTAGGGCTAAAGATTTATTGCAGATAAAATGGGGAGCCTCCTTCAAGGACTGGAGTTTTGTTCCTTGCTAATATATCTTTTATCTACCTCCTTGCTTCATAAGCATATATTGTCGATGATACAGGATTGAGTGGATCATATTTTCCAATCATATGATGAGGAGTTTAGGTTAAATTTACGTTTCCAAGAATTTTCTAATCACTCATTATTGCTGCTTTCTGGTCAACCTAGAGAGGATTCAAAGGAGGCTTATTTGAAATGATGTTTAATCCTTTATAGATCTATTGAATTGTTGATTATCTAAGAATATATAAATTTTGAAATGAGATTTAGGTATTAAATGTCACTTACTTATATTGAGTCAACACAAACAAGTTCCCCATTGATATGCTACGCCAGTATTTTAGCAATGTTTGTTTTTCCAACGCCAGTCATTCCACTGACTACGATAACTTTTCTTAATTTATCCATTCTTAATAGTTCTTTTATGTAAAGTTTGATGTGAATTGATGTAAAGTATGGTAGTTTTGTTTATGTATTATAGCCCTATTAATATTAATTATATTGTATATATGACGATCTCAAATAGTGATTCAATTTAATTTGTGGTTTCTAATTCGATTTGATTCCCTGACGGGGTTTTGGGGTTTTGGGGTTTTGGGGTTTTGGGG